TACTAGGACTTGAACCCGAAACCCGCTCGTGGAGGGTTGGGTGCCTAGACCACTAGGCCGCGGGATCCCAACCCCCAAATTAGTGCGAGGTTATCAAAGGAAAAAAATATATATATATATAAAGTAAATTAAATTTTGTGCTTAATTTCTTTCGATTTGGTGATTGATACAGTATAACCTGGCACAGATTTGAAATATGTATTTATTTTTGCTTTGATTATATCCTCGGTTTATTATAAGTTGGCTTGATAATTATAAATTGAAGAATAAATTTACATTCACAATTACACATAGTAAAAAAGCTAAAAAAGATCAAATTTCTTAATGTTATATCTATAATTGTATTAAGAGCCAACTCTTGTAGTTAGATACAAGTACAGCAGATAGTATGAAACTCTTAGCATAGCACTAATACTTTAAGCAGACTATTTAAATTAGGCACCAAAAGTGTATATGTAACTTGATGTACTATCATTGTAATTACAATATAAAATATTATTTATATTCTAATAAAAAGTTTCTCAAACCAAAAAGATCACCTTAATACCAAAAAAAAATAAAAATAATTTAAACTATTGCTTTAATAATACTATATATTATAGTATTATACAGTATAATACAGTATATATATATATATACTGTACTTAATAAAAACAAAAAGCAAAACCTCATCTTAATAATAAAAAAAAAAGTTTATTTTATATACAGAACAGTATGTTTTTTATAATTTTAATACAGTATAAAATAAAGATTTATATTACAGTATATATATATAATACTGTAAAAATTTAATAAAGATTCAAATTTTGTTATATATATAGGATTTTTGACTTAGAATCTCAAACTTTAATTACTTTGAAATACTGTATAGCACCCCCTGGTGATTTAACAAGTAATAGTTTTATACGTACATACGTACGTACTGTATATAAAAATTTAGGTGGGACATATCGTGTAACTGATACATTATTCGGTCCATAATTCTGGTAACAGTATAAATGTATGCTCCCCTTAAAAAAGGAAAGCCGTTAATATATATTTTAAAATTCTAGGCAAATATGCCTGAAAACAGTTTAAGAGATATGCCTACTTTATAAACAAGTTTTGTTTAGTAAGATCAGTCGACTTATTTTGATTTGCTATTTAATGTTTCAGGCCAAGCCACATACATGGCAAGTTTATTTATAGTATATACTGTAAGAATTCTCATTGCTTTTGTTCTCCGACATTATCTTACATTTACTAAAGTGACAACGGTTCTTATATTGATTGATTTTCCGTTTTTTTTTATGCTCAGAAAAAAACTTGAGCCCGTTAAAAGAGCTTGAACAATGTCATCTGGACCGCACACACCCACTGAAGATATGAGTGATCCAATCAATACAACACTTGATTGCCTCACTGCAGCGGAAGATATTGTGACAGATCATCACGATGATCGTTATAATACTGAGGACCGTCGGCGTAGCAGAACTGACGATGAAGACTTTAAATATCGACGCAGGTATTTTCTGTAAATTATGGGTATTGTAGTGTTTTCTACAACAATGGTCTATTTTACTTAAAAATTATTGCATTCGGCTCCTTATGTATCGTTTTCATTAATTCTTTCAGAAAAAGCACCAGCCGATCACTATCACCGCCGCGTCGACGCTCCAGATCTCCACGTCGTTCTCGGTCTCCGCGGCGGGAACGTACACCACATAGGCGTTCCCGCTCTCCACGAACGCCACAAAGGGGAGGGGATCCACATCCTGAACCTTATCGCCGTCGTCCACCGTATCATTATGAACCTGATAGACCTGATAGACAGGAAAGACGAGAAAGAGAACCGGAAAGGGATAGAAATAATAATGGTACACGAGAAGCACATCGCGAAAGGGAACGAGAAAGAAGGGATCCACGTAGCCGGTCAAGGGAGAGGGAACCGAGGGAACCAAGGGAACGAAATGTTAGTTTGCGTAATAATTTCAGACAAGACAGAAATTATAATCAAAGGATATCAGCTCGGGAAGTGGCAGGTATGTCAAAGAATAATCCAATGCCATCATCCAATGGTCTACAAGGTTTGACATTCGATATTAAATATGATTATTTACCTACCGTAAGGCCCATATATTAATCAATAAATAATGTTTGATATTATTTAATATTTTATTTTAAAGCAATAAACGCTTCACAAAGATCACAAAAGGAGTGCCGCGTTTATGTTGGAAATTTGGCTTATGAAGTAAAATGGGCTCAATTAAAAGATTTTATGCGCCAAGGTATTATTATTTACTTTAATTTGAAATAGTTAAACTTTTTTGTATATTTCTTAATAATTTTAATTTCAACTTCAAAGCTGGTGAAGTTGTTTTTGCCGACGTTTTGGTGCAACCTAATGGCATGTCTAAAGTATGTATTTCATTAATATGTAGATTAGTAAATTAAGTTAGTAACATCTTAAGTTTAAATTGTTTTAATAGGGATGCGGGTAAATTTCATTACACATAGTAATTTAATAGCGCGGCCGCTTATTTTAGTTTTTCTAAAATTTAGTGTCGTTGAATATCGTACGCCGGAAGATGCACAGAGAGCAATAGAAACTCTTAATGACACCCAATTACTCGGGAGACCTGTGTTTATTCGCGAGGTATTCATAAAATGAACATTATCTATGTCCTTGTACGTATGGAATGTTTACCTTTTTATAATTTATAGGATCGTGAGACTGAAGCAAAATTTGGTACTGGATTAAGTATTAGGCCCGATAGAGCATTACCAATGTCCAATAGTAATCATAGTCATCATCCTCCAAACGTTAGTGGTGGTAATGCTGGTAGGCAAATTTATGTGGGCAATGTAAGTGCAATAACTTTATTGAAATGCGGTGGATTCTTGTACATATAATATGTGCTTATTTATTTATTTATTTATATTTTATACTTTTTTATTTAATACATAAACAGCTACCCTATTCTGTTGGGTGGCAGGAATTAAAAGATCTTTTTAGAAATGCAGGTAGGCTACGTCGATATTACAAGATATTGTTAATGCATTAAATTAAAACCCTGCTTCTTTTTTTGCTAGGAAACATTATTCGCGCTGATATACTCATTGGTCCAGATAGACGATCTAAAGGGTCAGGGACTGTTCTTTTTGAGACACCAGCAGATGCTGCAAATGCGATTTGTATGTTTGTGAAAAAAATTATGGGCATTTGTGTTGGCTTGTATATATAAAGTAGGAAGAAAGAAGGAATTGGGATGGATGAAATTTAGGGTCATTAAGCTAAATGGTTATTTTTATTTTAGCTATGTACGATGGGTTCGAATTGAATGGTAGAAGGATTGAAGTCCGTGAGGTGGGGTGTAGTTTGGTTGCTTTTTTTTTTGTTTGGAAGTCTTTTGGTGGAGAAAAAAAAAGGTGTAGTCGGTGGTTATAACGTGACTTAAGATAGACACGTTGTTTCTACCGCGTTACTGTTTGGCGTGGGCAGGAATTAACATGAGGCAAGTATTGAGCTGGTGGGTTTTCTTTTTCGAATGCATTACCCTTATTTTTCATAGGATCGATTTGCTGGAGGACCACCACCACCGAGATTTTCAACACGCCCAACACGTCCTTATGCGGCGGGTCCGAGCCATTATCATAACTCTGCAGGAGGGTTTTATGGGCCACAAGCAGCTGCACCAGCAAGCTTTGGTTCGACTTACCAATCTATGGGACCTGGACCAGACCAGTATGATGGATACGGTGGCGGTTATAATGATTTCAGCGCTGCAGGCGCAAACATGATGGATTATAGCGGCGGTGGATTTGGTGGAGGTTACATTCCCCCATACGGTGGTGCAGTTGGATATGACGGGTCGGCGGGTTACTATCCTACACCAGGAGCATCCGGTGGGACTGGAACACAAATCTTTGTCAGAAATGTAAGGATACTACTGTGCAGATAATATTTGACGTTAGATTTTTTTTTTTTTTTTTGTTTTTTTTGAGTTGTATTCTAGATGTAAAGAAACAGTAGAAGAAAACAGTATCTTGGTTCTTCTTATGTATTGGTATTCTAAGCAAAAAATGATAGATGATATGGAAATAAAATTTAGAAGAAAATGCAGACATGCTAGAATTAATAATTTTTGGTGTTTTCTTTTTGTTGGGTTACATAGCTCCCGTTCACAACAACTAATCTGGACTTGAGAGATCTCTTTAAACATTGCGGTTAGTCATTATTTATGTTATAATAGTTTGTTATTTTGTCTAATGTTGATTACCTCAATCGTGAATAGGGAATGTTTTAAGGGCCGAGATTCTAGAGCAGAATGGAAGACCAAAGGGAGCCGGTGTAGTACAATTCGATTCAAACGAGGCTGCTCGTTTTGCTGTTGGTAAGAATCCGATTTATTTATTTATTGCCAAGCACCAATGGCGTTTTCTGTAATATATATGATTATTAATCAAGAATACTTAATACCTGCAATAAAGAAAAATTTAGCGGGTACACTTACGGCGGTCGTATTATTGACGTTAATTTTGATCGATATGCTTAAATTACAACAAAAAATTTATATAAGTATTGGAAAATTTGACGCACAATTGGTGTTTACTTTTGTTAAATTCATATATTTTTCGTTTTATTTATCTTTGTGAATTTGTAATAAAATAGTTTAACTGCTGATAATAATTTCACTTTCAAAATTTTTTTTAACAACTTGACTATATAAAATTGAAAGTCTATAGATAATCATTATACCTCAAGGATCAATACTTTCCTAATATTTCAAGATTCCATCTTAAAAAAAAAAATTTATAATAAAAGTTCTTTTAAGAATTATAACTTTAAAATAAAAATATTTAAAGAATGGATTCACTTCCACAAATTTTTATTGTTCAGATAGGCATATGTGCTTTTGACGTAACAAGGAAACGGCCAAGCACATCTTTTCATCTGGTCCCAAGTTTAAAAACAAGGTACTCTTTCATCAAATAGCCAACTCATCATAACTTTTTTGAATGGGAAGGAATCATTCTGAAGAAAAAAAAATTTTTTTTTTTTGAATCTAAAAAGTATATATAGAAATTTGGACGAAGTCACGAGTTGCAATTTTTAATATAGCAAACATAGCCGGGTAACATATGAGGATCATTAATTTCGGATTTATTAATGGTTAAACTTTGATATTTTATCTTGAAGCTCTCGACTAGCTCTACACGTAGGGTGCCACCACGGCATGCCATGCCACGTTGCACGTGACATGAACTTAAAGATATACTCCTGTACTCAAGATTAACAATTTAAAACTGTAATATCGATATCGATATCAATATCTTATCGAAAGTCAAAAGCACTGTACACGATACGTAAATTTTACAATAATATTCGACAAATTGGCAAAAATTTATTAACGTTAACACAAATTTATTTACTAAAAAAACTCGAAAGTGATAAAACACAAAAGAGCAAGACGTTAGTATTAAACAACGATAATCATTATTTGCGGCTCATTAGGTTGTAATTGATTTCATCCAATGAACGATATTTGTATTCGTCCAATGGGAAGTTGGGGGAAAATTAGTGAATAGACAGAATCAAAAATAGTGTTGTCCAATTACCTAATGGTCCAATTGTCTAATGTCTATTTTAATTTGGTGGAGAATAAACAAATAAAATTAAATAGCAAATGTTCGTGAACTTGAATATCTTATTTGAACACTTAAGATTAATAAATGTTTTTTATGCTTATGTATTAAAAAGCTTACTCTAATATTTAGATTAATAAGTGCTCTTTATACTTGCGTACTATTATAACTATTGCGTATAAATAAAATTCTAATAGTTTAAATATTTGGCTTAATGAACACTCTTTACTATATGTTTCAAACCTAGAATAAAATTAAATAGGAAACATTTATAAATTTGATTAATTTTAAAATGCTTAGGTATTCTTTTACTCATGAACTAAAATAAAAGATATATATATTTTTATTAAGATTTTGATACAGAAAATTGAACTGACGATGGTTTTAATTTTTAGCTTAGCACAATTTTAGCCAATTAAATGTAACAGCGAAGTAATTTATTAGAAAAATATTTCATGCATTTTCATTGGTAGTAATATACATGTTCCAGTGAAAAAATCGTTCCAGTGGAACTTTTCATTGGAATCACTAGAAAATCCGAATGTCCTGTGGGGTTCCAGTTTCCAGTCCAACAACACTGCTCTAATCACTTAGCGGCAGCAAATTCACCAGCTTTGCCAGTCTATAGAAAGACAATAATCAGTCAATCTATTTTATATACGTAAAATGTGATTACAAACAGAAATATAATAAGACAAACCTGAAGCAACCCAATAATCAAACCAAACAATCCAAGAACGCTTCCAAAGATTTCAACAACAAGAATTTTTACAAATAGCGTTGGATCTTGTGCATCAGCCAACGCAGCTGTACTTCCTGTGATGCCTACTGCAATCCCACAAAACAAGTTACAAAATCCTACAGTTATACCAGCCCAAAAGAGTGCATATCCTATTTGGATAAAAAATTGTTGTAAATAATCTTTATCAATACATGGTAATCAAATGAATTAATTACCTGTAAAATAATTTGACGGTGTGTACAGATCTTTTGAATCAATGTTTTGTAGTTTTGCAGAGAAAACAATGGCCATAATCACACCGTAGATAGCAACTACTTCGCAAAAAATGATGCTATGTTTAAATAAAAGTAAAACAGTTGACTCAGCAAATTGTTGAAAGATTCAACGATAATTTTATCATATTTTTGTTACCTTATAAGATTCTTGGTCTTAATTCTCGGCGCTTTAACAGCTCCACCAAGCATACTTGACCCTGTAATGAAAATACCCCTGAAATAGGACAAAAAATGAAAGTCACTTTACGTT